TAAGCTTCTCTCATTTTTTTTTTTTTAATTTCTTCGTCATAAAGGTTCAGAATGAATTTTGTACCATCAAAAATATTAAAAATAAATGACCTTTTTATGCTCATTTCGACAGCATACGGTATATGGCGACACGTTGGGGAAAACTGTGGTGAAATAAGAGATCCAACCATAGAAGGAGATATTTATAAAGCAAAGGTTAAATTTTCTCCATAGAATATTCAATATTCAAATTAATTTAAAGTTTATACTGGTTACACAAGCAATAGTCTGATTGGTTTTCGTCTTACTGCTTGCTTCATATTTTTTTTACAGATATGCCAAAAAACATTTCAAATGTTAACGAGACGCAAAAGATCTACTGCAGTAACAGTCAAAAACCCTTACCAATTTACATTAACAGTCATGAACGTGTCCTTCTATAACTCACCACCTGAAGTCGATATCGATACTATTGTGACAATGGAAGATACACCGATAATCGATTTCCAAATACCTTACCACGATGATGAAATGGATTCTGTTCAATTTTATCTTCTTCAAAATTCTGATATTGGATTTGCAAACCTGACCTTGAATGGTAGGTTGACCTATTACCCTAAAACAGATTTCTTTGGCAAGGATAGCATTAGGATGACATTAACAGACAATGCTAAATATCCAGCAACTGTCGAGAAAATCATTTGGATTGAAGTCAATAAAGTAAATGACATGCCGATGTTTGGTTTTCATCATAATGATTCTTCATATGACGTTATGGAGAATAAAAGCTTAACCCTAATTTTCGAAGGAAATTCAACATCACATTATCTGTTCGACTTTGGCTTTGCAGATGTTGATGATAATGAAACTCTTTCTTTCATATCAACCCTTACTAACACCAAGGATGTCAATATAACCACAACGAGCACCGATAATGCATGGTTTCTAAATGACACGTTCGGTCATACAGAGATGAAGACACAACAAGGATATGCAGCAGACATGGTTATCAATAAAAATTTCCACGGTGACTTCTATTACTACATTCTTGGTTTTGATAGTCACAGCTATTATACCGAGCGTTTGGAGACTCATATTTACATCCTTTGGTCTCCTTGTGTCTATGGTTTTTGTTCCCCTAAATTCAACACCTCTCCATCTTGCCAAGACATTTCCAGAGCTGATTCTTTTGATTTTTATAAATGCACCTGTCATCCTGGATACACGGGTATGTGGTGTGAAAATGAAATTAACGAATGTCACCAACAACCTTGTGGTGATCTTTTCAACTGTGAAGACAAAATCAACAGTTATGAATGTGTTATCAAACCGGAGGCTCTGGCTTCATTGATAATTGCTGCAATACTGTTCATAATTCTAGTTGTCATCTTGTATCGAATCTTCAGGTGCAAAACAAAGTCATACAGGTAATTAAGTTTAAATTTCACATGCTGCCTAAATTTAAATATCTAAGAAATTTCTTGTCATGTTCTATTGTTTTAACTAACACATGCATGTATGCTTTTCTTAAGGGTAACAACTCCGTTGCCACCAGATCAAGATGAATCCTTTGATGACTTGTAAGTACAATCACGTGTACTTTTCTCTAGAAAATTTTATTAAATGCTTCAATTACTTTTTATTATAAATTGAACCATTCTAAATTTCCTTTCTTTTTCAGTGATAACAACACTGTGAATTTGTGAGTATATGTTATTCTGTAACCCAAATAATATTAAACTTTTTGTGTCACATTTTCCGATTTTTGACATTTAAAGTTTTTGATATCTACTCATATTAAATGGATACTTCATTTTCTGGACGAACATTGGGGAACATAATTTACATTTATATTGACTAATGCTAAATTGTTCGTTTCATTAATCCAGATGCTTCATTTACCCTGATAATTTCCTTTGGAACACAAATATCCGGATTCACAAGGCCCCACTGTATTTCAAAGCACAAGATTTTATTTTTTTTTTTTTTACTTAATCATAATACTTGTTCAGTTTCCTTTGATCTTTTCAATCTCGTACACATCTTTTCAATCTTATGAAATCGGATGTTGAAAAACATGTATATAATATTATATGAGAACTTCAATAGATTATCACAATTTAAAGTAGAAAACTTACCACTACAAACATCTTTATCTTGACAACATGAGGCTAAATTTCAGGAAAAAAAATTAGTTTTTTCCCGATGATATGTGTTTTTTGAATTTCTTTATGTTCTTGATTGTTAATGTATTATAATTTATACCGACAAGCTTTTAAAAAATAATTACCAAGACAATTGCTTCTCTGTTGCATATACCGAATAATAATTTCTCATTCTCTCTTGTTGCAGAGTTGAATACAAAAATTCAGCACCAATGGCCACTGACTGCAAATTTCAAAACATCGAGAATAAATTGCCCTCATATAGTTCTTTCGTAACATCACAGGAAACTTCAAGAAAAGGACCATCCACACCAAGTGGGGATAAAAGTGGTGAAGATTACCATAAAGACATCGAAGGAAAGGTTTCTAGAAGCACCAGTAAAAACAAAGATAATTTATACACCAATAAGGAACTGGTACACGAAGAAAAACCTTTCTATGCAAGGATATTGCAAAATTTACAAAAGAAGAAACCAATGAAGAGGGTTCCATTTTTCTATCCACTTGAACACGAAAATGCTGCTTACTCGCCAGAAATCTCTGAAAATGATTCTTCGGATGACGAAGAATTAGGCCCATTTAATTCAGCACAAAATGATCTGGCAAAGATGATGGACTCTATGAAATCGCAGTCCAAATCTAGCCCAAAGGAAGCATTTTGCTTTCAGAATTCAGCTTATTTTGAACCTTCGACTCCAAAGGCAGAAATCCAAAGAAATATAAATTTCCGGGGAGCTGTTGGTTATGATAATAATAAAAGTCCTACCATTGAAACATCCCCGCATAAAAATGAAATTGAGAAAAGTCCCCCAATGCCCAAATCAGATGAAACAAGTGTGCTGGAAACTGCTGAAAATGCTTCGATTGACAATGGGCAGAAAACCGAAAGGCGCCAATCATATGATGCTGAAGGTGACTCGAAGCCTACTGAAGCTATCCTAAGTTTTACAAAGGATTTGGAAGCAGCTAAACATTTTTCCACTCCGAATACAATTCGCGTTGTATCGCCAGAGGAAAAACCCTCAACACAGATGTCTGATAGTGATGAAGAAAGAGACAGATATATGACATCTACACCTATCGGAATCTCCATTGACGACACGTTTTGATCACTGAGAATGTGTGAAAAAATTCAGTTTATTAATATTTGGAATAACAAGCTTAAGCAAGTTTCAATTATGAGTAAAAAGACAACGCACTACTGAATGTTACTTGTTTGATTGTTATATTCTTTCTTCATATAAAATTCATTCTCTCTTCACAACTTTCAAAGTGTGTTTAGATCTAAACAGTTTTACTTTGTTTCACTTGTACTCCTTCTTTTTGTTTTAGTGAATTAAATCTTACTTTGATCTTTAATCGTTTTCTAATTTTATTTATATTTTTTCATTTGAACCAGAAAGATAGAAATAAAGTCTATTGGTCAAACCTATAGACTAGATACTTTGGCCATGCTTCTGTTCAAGAAAACCCCGCATATCCTTTTTCGGACTTCATGTATACTCAATATTTAAATCAAGCTACTTTCACATATAACGTTAACGTATTTCTTAAAACGCCTACTTACTTAGTGGAAATACCTGCACTTCAGGTATCTCAATTAAAATTATTTTACTGCTTATTTAGTCAACTTGCAAATACACTTATCAAATACTGTGCTTTTTTCAATTCTTCTGCAGTCGCTAATTCGCGTAACTAATTTATCAGAACGCCATTTCAATTGTCTACTTGCAGCTAGATTTTGGATCCGTGACTGGTAAAACAGTTAAAGTGTACACTTTCTTATTATCAAAGAATAAAAATATTGCAATAACTTTTGATTATGAAATTTTGTGCAAACAACAATTTCAATCATAAAATTCAAATTAGATATCAAAGAAATGTATGCACAAATCTATTTCCTCTATAAATGTGTGCATACATCAATCTTCCCAAATAAATGTACGCTTAGGTATGTAATCATTCTTGTAAAAAATTATAGTTTGATTTATATCAGAGCAAGACTTTGACACCAAAAGACCAACTGAAGAAAAAAATCCTCAATTTATTAATTTGACTTTAAAATTAAATGTACTTTTAAATAGTTCATCTTTGACAAGTAACCAAGTAAAAAAAATATTCGACAGTCCAAATGACTGAGCGATGGTTGAGCTAGTACTCGAATGCTTGTGTTGACAGTCACCAATTCTTTTTCCGTTTGCATTTTACAGAATTTTTTTTTTCAGCCCCTCCCATCAGATCTGAGTACTGTCCACTCTAGGGCCAATTTCTATGAAAATAAGCAGAAACTACAGTACAGGAGGTGTGATGTATTGAAAAATTGTTTACACTCAGACAGAAAAAACACAGATGCCTTAATATTGCATAATCCCATTTAGTCTTTGACCATTAATGCTAAAAATTATGATTTATCCTAAAAATGGCAACAAACTTCGATGAAATAAAAAACCAGAGAAATAATGATCGACCTTAATTATTCTATTTGAGTACCAAGGTTATATGGAAATCTGACCAAAATTGTAGGAGGAGGACTGCTTTTAAGAATTTCAATCCAATCTCTATTTATAGCAATCACTACAACACCATTCTTCAAAATCAAAAGAACAATGTACAGAGTCATGTTTCTCGGTGTTTTCTAAATATAAAATAAGTTTACTGAATGAATGGGATTTAGCATCATAAATAACTGTTTTTACACAAACTGACAGACAGACAGACAGAAAGGAAGACCATAGACCGGAGGCCTTAACAAAACTAAAGATCTTACATTCTTCAACCAATAGTTAAAAAAGTGAACAATAAAAATAAAAAAATATAAATACATAAATATTTATTCTATTAAAAATTCATTTTAAATATTGCAGTATATATTTTAGTAATCTGGTGCCCAATCCACTGTTTTTGTCACATACTTTGTATCAATACACTGAACTAGGTCCCCTTCCTCAAACTGAAATTGAGAGTCTTTTACTAGCATTCCACACTCCATCCCTGTCCCAATTGTCTCCACTTCATCTTTATGATGTTTTAAAGAATCCAGTTTACCTACAATGTTACAATTTTTTTTTAATTTACAAGTCTTTAGAACTTTTTTTATTTGCCCTGCATTTAAGATCCTGGCTGATTGCCTTCCTGCTATGTAGGTTAGACTAGATATCAAGGTCAGTCACTATTGTACTAATACTCAAACTATCCTTCATAGCCTCAAAGATAGCTTATTCTTCAAGAGCAGAGCTCTAATTAAACCTCTGTAGCCACTTTGATCTTGAACACACCTTTGTAAACTACTTTAATTCTCTTTACAGAATAATTTCTTTTCATCATTTAAATCAAGCAAGTGCTAAGTTTGCTGTTTTATCAACCATTTCAACAATTTTTCCTTAATTGCAAAATATAAAATCAATTAAATTATAATCAAGTTAAATACTCTGTATTCTTGTTAATTTTCTCCTTACCTCTGAACACCTCCTCTCCATCTCTTATCACTTTGTACCTGAGCTTCCTCTGAAGGTTTCCTTGCACACAGCGGCAGCCTGCGACATTTCTCTTTCCGTCCTTTAACTTATATTCATATACTTTTTGAACCTCTGCTTCTCCTGTAAAAGTTTCAAGACATTCAGTGCAAGTACATGTATGTAATAAACATTTATTTAAGGCATGTGTATACTTATTTACTTCTATTGGATTTTTTTTATTTTGGTTCCTTTCAACTTTAAAATACATGTATTCCTATACACCAGTGTCACATTATATTGTGGTTTAATCTAAATTCAGTTGCCTGCATGGCACAGTGGTTAGAGAGCTTGCTCTAGAGTAGTGGGATAAAAAGTTGATCCTTATGTCACGGGTTCAAATCCCACTGTGGGATATGGAAACCAAGGTTCCGTGTCGCAGTAGGTGCTGGACGAAAAAAGATCCCTCACTGCTCAATGGCCCTGAGTGCTGAGTACAGGTTTAAATTTGCAGCCCTCCCCTAGCAAGTGGTGTTGTCTCAACAGTGAAAAATTTGTCAAGGGATGTTAAACAAATAAACCTTGAACACACCTTTTATGATCAAAAATTTATTTTATTATCAATTATCTTCATTGTCTGGCTCAACCAGAAAAACAATGAAAATTGTTCAACAAAAAACTGATGAAACCAAAGTTTATACTAAACACTCCCAAGAACATAAGGTCAATGTAAGAAAAAGTTGGATGGTTAATTTAACAGAGAATTACAAGTTCAGTTATGTGTACCTACCAATAATGTCCTCTTCCTCTATTGGGGGAATCCGTTCGTTAGCACTGTCTTTGAGATCATCAATTAATTTATATATCACATTATTTTCCTTAATGATTATGTTTTTCTTCTTTGCTTCAAGCTTTATTTCTTCAGGTACAGGTACATTGAAACTAAAGATATCAGCTGAAAAAAAAAAATACTAGTGCAATTAAAACTGCCCTTGTGACCCACTCTAACTTGACAAATTTACTAAGGACAAAACAATATCTTTATATTATATAAAAAGGAATAAGAAAAGCATAAATTGTTTCATTTATACTGTTATACAAGTCATCTATACAATTTTAAACAAAATATTAAAATAAAGTTAGCCAATTCGGAATTATGCATATTGCATTATGTCATTTTACAGAAAACAAACTGATATATTGATTAATCTGAATCTCTTTTACACTTAAGGGGTTTTATCTAGGGTCCCTTTATAAACATGAAATCACAGAGAGACCTTTTGGGCAGTGTGCAACTTGTCTAATCTCTTTACTATCTCAAAAGCCCCGAAAATTTGATTTCAGTGTATTTTTAGGGTAGATCTTTCAGCACTTATTGTGGGATGAAATATTGAAGATATTGACATATTTCATGGTGACTTTTCAAAATCACTGAGCAATCTAGGGGCTCATTAAGGAGCAAACAGTGAAAGTTCCCTTCCAGTTTCTTTCTGTAGCAACCTCTGGGAGTTTGCTGAGCGAATGCTTTGAGCCAATCAAGATCACTGAAAAAGGGATTACTGAAAACGAGGTCACTGTATGGCCAAAATTCCGATGAGAGATCCTTATTTGTTCAAAAACATTTTGTGTTCTTTGAAAGACCTTCGAGAGATCATGGGGAAGCCAAAAGCTTGTTGAGTGACCTTTCTGCACTCTTTCAGCATTCTTTAAAAGATTAATTATCACTGTCATCATTGAGCCCATTTTGAGTCAGGTCAAAATATTGAGGAGACAATGAAACAATTGAGACCACTGAGAGGTCATGATGATGGTTGGTAACTGAAAAAACATCATTGAGAGATTCGGCCAATTTTGCATCACTCAGAAATATCTCAGCAGTGGCGACTTCTGTGTAGAGGGGTTTTTTTAACATGTAGTCAGAGCAGCAATTTTTTTTTTTTCTTTCTTCTATTCCTAAATTAGATTTTAATAAACCTAGTCCATAATTAACATTTAACTTACCTTTTAAACTTGCTGCTAAATTTAAATCAGCTTCACCCACAGGCCCAACATCTTGATGTACAACCCGTAGTTCACAAAGCTGAGAATCAAATGTTGAGAACATTCCTACTAATGCCTCAATGGACCCATAAACATCACCTGTACAAAAAAATTCATTATTAAGAACTAAAATTTTGTAAAAAGATTAGGTCTTCTTCCTTTTCTTCCTAGTTGCAAATGGAAACACTTTCAGCAGTGATCTCTACTGGAAAATTTATTCCTTCAAAGCTAGGAATCTACCCTGCCTCCCCACACAGAGGGAATGAGAATGATTTCTATAGGGCACCTGCAACTCATTGCCCTCATAGTCAAGCAAAACATGTTTTACAGAAACTTCTCCATGTGCTGTATTTCTCAAGTGTTTTGAAGGTCAATAAAGATTGCTTTATGGTAATAAATTCATTATCATTTACATATTTCTTAAATCAAACAATTACATATACATATAGATCAGCAATGATGCAACTATGAATTAAAACTGATCATACGATGTACCTTTGAGAATTATGGGAAGACAAACTTCTCCGAACGAGGACGGCACATCTCCGTAGTTAACAACCTTCTCCTTTGCCATTCTGTATAACTGGAAGTTTTTCTGTTTCAGTTGACGTAACTCCTGCATGGTTTTCTGGTGTTCCTGACGTCTCTCTTCCACTGAGGCACTCATTTCCTCGCGACCAATTTGATTCTTTCTGGAAATTAAGTTTACCACAGCCTGTGCTGTTTTCTGTCAATTGAACATAAAAAAAAAGTTTTATCAAATTGATCTATTTTTATATAATACTAGTACACTATCGTAAAAGTGAAATTTTTAGCATGACACAAATTTTGTAAATTGGAATAATTTTGGGGGGATGATTTTAAAGTGCCAAGAAAGATATCTCTTTCAACCATTGTTAGCAATATTCAATTCTAATGATTACTAACATAACTTACAATGCCAAAATGAAATCCTTATTAAAAATTCTGCTTTTGCAGTAACCATCATGTTTTACATTCAAGATCTGAACTGACTGGGACAAATCAAATACATGAAAACATAATACCATTGTTGTTTCAGGCAAGATTTATTTGTGATATATTAATAAAGGTATTTTGACTGTAATGCAGTCTTGTTTCACTAAATTAATTACATGTAATTAATGTGATTTCACTTAAAACACTAACCTTGACCTTGACCAAACATGCAGTCTATGTGATGTTTCTTCACATTTAAGAACAATTTTAAAGCCCATACTTAAAAACAGACCATTAATGTATCCATATGACCTTCATCTTGCAATCTTTGCATCATAAAACTTTATCCCACAAAAACAGCTAACAATGTACATACACCTTTCTATCATCAATGTACTTATATGTGAATGACCTTTATCCTGTCCTTGACCTTACCCTGTCCTTGAACTGTAGAACCTCATCCCCAGCCACAGGGAGTTCTCTCCATCCCGTGACTTCTGCACAGAAGGAGGGGGACACGGATTTCACAGCCTGACCCTTATCATTCACCATGCTTTTAATCTATAGAGAGAAATCAGCACAAAATTAATGATTAACAGCCTTTGTAGATCAAGAATTTAAAACTTAAAAACATAAACACATCTTTTCTTAGATCGCTGGACTGTTTCTAATAAAATTATACCTTGTAGTAAGAAAGACTTGGGTTACCTTTTACATTTAACTTCTTCCTTTTTTCTAATATCACAAGACAGAATTTAATTAGATCATTATCTACTTGTGCATGTATATACATGAATATGTTTGGGACCAAAAAAGGATATTTATAATATTTAGAGTTTTTCTTCCAGGAAAAAGGGTGCCTTCTATAACTTTCTTCAAGATTTTTTCTCACTACCTAGAAAACACTAGTCTTGTGTTATATTGATAAGTTCTCAATGTAGCATGATATTCCCTCTCTAAATAATACATGTGAGTTCCAGACCTCCTTACTGGAAGAATGCTGATAAAAATATTCAATTGTTTTTTTAAAAAAAAACAAACAAACCTTTCCATAAGCCTCTCCTGCAACAACAATTGCTCCTGTTTTCAAGATCCCCCGTTGGACTAGAATTGTTGCAACTTTCCTGTGTTAACAAAAGAAAGCAGTTTAAAAGCAACCATTATCATAGAGCTCATTTGGACTTCCGACTTAGAGTCATACACAACATGCCTTAGACTAACAACATTACCTTACATACATGTGTATTACATTACCTATTGTTAACTTTTCAAGATTTTCTGAATTTTAAATACACATGTAGTACCATATCAGATATTCTTAGACAAAAAAATCAGTATACAGTTGAACTTCGGTATCTTGAACACTGATATCTCGAATACCATTGATATGTCGAATTGATTTGGAAGTCCCAACTACTCATTATTTAAGTATTTTAACCTCGATATCTCAAATCATTGGATATCTCGAACTTTTTTCTTGGTCCCGTTGAGTTCGAGATAACGAGGTTTGAGTGTATTACATACATTACCAGGGACTTTGAGAAGATATCAAGTGATGAAAAGCCTTGCAATTCTCAAAGAAACATTACCAAACATAGTTTTTTCTTTCCTTAAAATTTGTTTTAAAGGAAGTGTACAGCATCATTAGGCATAATAAAAGTTGCAAAAAGGTACTTCATATATTGGATCTCTTCAATTAAACAGGGAATAATTAGGGAATATCTGTCTAGTTTGTTTGGTTTTATGATGAAGATAAGCAATTGGTTTGCATGATAATTTTATGCATAAACGCCTTTGACAGATATTCCTTATATTTACAAGATTCCATAAATTTACAAGCTCGATCCAAGCCCTGCGCACCTCCCTCTCTCCCCCCGCCCCCACCCCTAAAGGTCTATCAATGAAACAATAGCTTTATGAAGGAAAAAAGTTATTTTATTATTTGTAGTTTTACCTTGAACATAGAAATTTGAACATGTTACATGTAATATACTGAAATGCAAAAGAAACGCAACATCCTATTTTAGGGGAAAATTTTGTATATAGAATATATTAATTTTGTATCTAAAAAGTAAGGCTATCTTCAACTTAGTAAATATTGGTAATTTTAGGTTAACAAAAATCAAAAACTGCATGTTTAACAAATCATTTGACAGTACTATGGGGTTTTAAGGGTTTTTATCTGTTCATCATAAGTAATGCAGGAATAATCCGAAAAATAAATTCTCCTTTCTTCTCCATAAGAATTGCCAAGGCTTCCTGAAAATGACTTAAGTACGCATTTCCATTGCTCTAGCTGGAAAATCTCAAAATAAAGGTGATAGAGAATTGCAGATACAAATATGCACTACATCACGCCTAAACAGGCTCTTGTATTAGTATGAATGACAGTCCTTGGACCGGAAGTCCAATGGTTACTACACTGCGCTAGGCTAGAGAAAATTCGACCTCATCATCTGAAAAACAGGCATTTAAAAATGGCAGAGAATATTTCTATCGAGATTGATGAACCTATTGCATTGTAGAAATCAACCTGCAATTGTTGTACATGGCAATCTTGCATGCTGTGACTGAATGGCCGGGGTGGGGGGGTTTAAACAGTCACGTGTTATTTCTAAAGTTAAAAGATATAATCCTTTAACATGTTTATCAAATCTCTGATATTTTTAAATCAAGTTTAACCTTACTATATTCATTTTTGAAAATTATCAAATAAAAAATTCAAATATTTGTAGATTACTGCTTGTTGTGTTTCTTTTGCTTTTCAGTATATGAAAAAATTAAGGTTCAAAACTATGTTATGTATGTCCTTAAAAAATCAAATTGCAAAGGGTATGATTTGCTGGATAACTTAACAATTTTGTTAATCTTGTTGATAGTGTGAAATAAAAATGTAATAAAAATAGCTATAAAATGATACATGTAATTAAGAAATTCTTGACTACCGGGTATATATACAACATCACACATTAATATTGAAAGACATGATGATTTATCAGACTAAGTACAAAATGATGATTTTATAAACAAGTATAATTGTTCTTAAATAAATATGAACATTTCATAGTCTCTGATGTCAAAATTAAACTACTTCATAGAAATACCCTGTCTTGGGGTTGAGTTTAGATTCGAGGATGTGACCTTCCACCAGACCCTTGGTGTCACATTTCAGGTCCAGTAACTCTGCCTGGACTGCTATGGTTTCTTGTAACTCGTCAATGTTTTCCCCCTGGAAAAAAAAATTGCAAGAATATTTCAGATTCATTACCAAAATAAATGCCAGAACAGCATGTCATACAGGGCAGAATGCCAGAACAGAATATCATACAGGGCAGAATATCAGAACAGAATATCACAAGTAAAATTGATGCAAAGCATCAAATTGGCCGCAAACAAAATTTAGCATTTCAAAAAGTACTTTCACAATTTTAAAAGCATCCAAGCATCCATGCAAGAAAAGCACAATTAAGATATTCAAAGCTTGAAGAGTGATCATTTTTATTTTAGACTGTCTTCAAAGCAAAATAAATAAATAATTTAAAAGAAATGAAATAAATAGAAATTTTAGTGCATTTGTTCATCAATCTGATTCATCGATGTAATAAAGTCAGTGATAAATGATAAGAATTTATTGTCATCAAAATTAATATGTAGGTCTCTAAAGATGAACCACGTGCTGATACCCTGGATCTTTGCCACGTGACGATGCCCATGATTTCTGCAGAGGAGGCAAGTAGGCTATGCTGCACAGCACAGTGCAAAATGTAGAAAAAAAAATTATCCTTGTGTCAGCTGTACCATATTCAAAACAATTTTTACTAGTTGAACAACTTTTCAATTTTTATTCATCATGCACTTTTACCACAATTATAATCCAGAAAATCATAACGATTTGCTTTCATATCTTACACACTGCCAGGTTGGGAAGTACCTTTTGTAAACTCTCTTTATATAATCTTAAATTATTAATTTTCTGATGAGAAATGATAATGAAATTGAAACATAATAACAACAATTAAAACCTAGTTTAAAGCAAGTTTTTAAAATATTTTACTCATGATTTTATACATGTTATCATTTAAAAATTATTTTACTGGACTAATAGAGAAATAACGTCTCATTTCTCCAAGTGCACTTTCTTACACAACCACAAATAGATCAGCCGCTGCTGCGGCCAATAATAAGGGCAGAATGTCAGAACAGAATACTGTATGTGTACTTAAAAAAGTGGGCTTTGGAGCGGACAACAATGCACTAATTCATGAATACCGTTAACAATTCATATATAAATACAATACGTGGCACGGATGTGTGTAACGCTAATTCATGAGTACACAAACCACTTAATAATACCCAGTGACCGCGCTAAATTTTGAATACGTCAATTTATGTACATGTACAGTATCATTAAGGGCAGAATGTCAGAACAGCATATCATAAAGGGCAAGATAAAAAGATCAATATAGGATAAAACACTAGATTCAATAATTTGGTTGATTGGGGGTGGAGGTTGGGGGTTAGGAGCCCTCTCAAGTTTTTGCTGTCTGACATTGATAATTATATTACACAAAAAGTGCATACCGTGCATGATTCTTTATGTCATTGGTGCAGTAAATCACAAAATATTTTCATGGGGTCAAATTTTCATCATTTGATGTCAGAAAAAAAAGTTTGTGGAGATTTGATTTCATGAATGGAGAAGTGTTGAGTAGTTATGTATATGAAATTGTAATCATTGGACAGAATTTTTGGGTCTTTTCATACTTCAAAGCAACAAAAAAATTTAACTTCCATGACAAATAGTGATTTCACAGTATTTGAAATAATTCTTTTTTTATGAATAAACAAGAAAAAACATATTTTATTCATTTTTTTTCAATACATGTATACTATTATTTGATAAACTAATATTTTCATACCTTTAAGGCAGAAATAGGTACAGCAGGAATATCCCCACCATTCAACTCAGTCTGTATCCCATGTTCAAGTAGACTATTCAGTGTTCTTTGCTGCAAATTATTTCATCATTTACAACCAATTAAGTCTATACATTGTATATATAATATTATAGAATATATATACATCAAGGTACCAAAAGTTTGCTTTTAAGAAAATTTCTTGGGGCAAAAACCATGTGTATTGTTTATTTTCTTATAGGTATATATGTCTAAATGCTGATAGCTGATTGGTAATTGGTCAAAAAAGAAATAAGAGTTTGTTTTCATATACTCTGCATATACATGTATATATTCCAATTTTCAGATAGGTTCTTCACTTTTAAAAAGGAAAATTGTCCATATATATATAACAAGAGGCCCAGGGGTCACATCGCTCACCTGAGCACTGTGGCTAGGAAAAAAGGAAAAATCAGTTTAGTATTGTAAAGCTTAAATGCATAAGTGGTCCCAACCTACCCCTAAAAGGGAAGGGGGGGGGGGGGGGTATGATTTGAACAAAATTAAATCTACACTAACTAAGGATGCTTACATAATTTTTTGAATAAGTGTGACTTTTTTCTCTACAAGTTTGAACTTTCATTGTAGCCCCACCCTACCCCTGGAGGTCATGATTTGAAGAAACTTGAATCTACACTATCTGAGGATGCTTCCATATAAATATGACAAAACGTGGCTTTGCTGTTCTTGAGAAGAATTTTAAAGATTTTTACTATATATTCCTATGTAAAACTTTGATCGTTCATTTTGGCCCCACCCTATCCCCGGGGGTTCATGATTTGAACAAACTTGAATCTACACCACCTGAGGAAGCTTCCAAATAAATATTACCAATCATTGCTTTGCTGTTCTTGAGAAGAAGATTTTTGAAGATTTTTCAAATATATTCCTATGTAAAACTTTGATCGTCCATTGTGGCCCCACCCTACCCCCCGGGGGTCATGATTTGAACAAAATTGAATCTACACCACCTGAGGATGCCTCCAAATCAATATGACCAATCATAGCTTTGCTGTTCTTGAGAAGAAGATATTTGAAGATTTTTCCTATATACTCTATGAAAACTTTGATCGTCCATTGTGGCCCCATCCTAACCCTGGGGGTCATGATTTGAACAAATTTGAATCTACACTAACTGAGGATGCATACATATACATTTGACCAATCATGGCTTTGCTGTTCATGAGAAGAAGATTTTTGAAGATTTTTCCTATATACTCCTATGTTAAACTTTAATCATCCATTGTGGCCCCACCCTACCCCCTGGGGTCATGATTTGAACAAACTTGAACCCACACCACCAGAGGATGCTTCCAAATAAATATTACCAATCACTGCTTAGCTGTTTTTGAGAAGAAGATTTTTGAAGATTTTTCAAATATATTCCTATGTAAAACTTTGATCGTCCATTGTGGCCCCACCCTACCCCGGGGGTCATGATTTGAACAAACTTGAATCTACACTACCTGACAATAATTCCACATGAGTTTCATCTTTCCTGGCCCATTGGTTCTTGAGAAAAAGATTTTTCAATAATGCCATTAATTTTTTGCTATTTCGTAATTATCTCCCCTTGGAGGAGGGCGTGACCCTTCATTTGAACAAACTTGAATCCCCTTAATCCAAGAATACTTTGTGCCAAGTTTGATTGAAATTGGCCCAGTGGTTCTTGAGAAGAAGATGAAATTGTGAAAAGTTTACGACAACAACGATGATGACGACGACGACGACGACAGACAATGGACAAATTTCGATCAGAAAAGTTCACTTGAGCCTTTGGCTCAGGTGAGCTAAAAAAAAGGATTAGACTTGCAGGATTGTGAAGAAAAACTACTTATTATGATCAAAAACAAAAAATACAGTACTTATGTTGATCTTCAGGCTCTTGTCATCAGACAGTACTAAAAAAAATTGCTATTTTCCACAAAGTTTTTACTTCTTTTAGTTGAAAAAATACATAGACTCAAACTTTTGTTTTGCTCTTTTTTTAATTCAAAAAATCAAATCAGTCATACTTACAATATCAGCATTTGGTCGATCTATTTTGTTAATAGCAATTACCATGGGAACTGTGAAGGGAAAAAACAGACATAGTTGATAATTAATTTTAAAAAGGAAATATGTAATTGATAAAAATAATTAATGTAGAATTTAGCATATGTTACAGTTACATGTATATACATACACGTTTCTAAGAAATCACATGACTGTACGAGGGGTGATCAAAAAGTTCGCGAACTAATTGAATTACTTCCTTAAAAGAAATAAAATGAGGTTTTAGTGTTCATTATTTTTTGAGGTAGTCCTCTCCGATTTTAATGCACATCTGCCATTGTTCTGCCCATGCACGAATCACGTGATCCAGGCAGTCACGTGACATGCTTCGTAGCGGTCTGTTCACGGAAGCTACGAGATTTTTCTGAGTCTTATATTTCTTACCATGCAAGTAATCTTTTATAACAAGAACAGACCATCTGTCAGAAATGGACAAATCTTTGCAATAGGATGGGTGGGTAAGGATATCCCCTCCCAGAATTAGCGTGGCGACCATCACAACCCGAGTCCTCTGTCTCAGGAACGTCATTTAGCCAATGTGGAAAAAAGTATGTGCGCCTTCATTTTTTCATATCTCATATGTTTAAAGTCTAAATTAAACGATATTTTAGGGATTTAATAATTATATTATTGCTCATATATTCAACTATTTTTCATACTGTTATTTGGCGATCTTTCAAAACAAATTGCTTAACTAAGGACACATCTTTTTACCGGCTTGCTTTCGCTGGGCAACAGAACAAACATCATTTTTAACCATCTCCCTACCTTCACTAAAACATTCAATCCAATTAATGATTGAACTTCTGGTAAGTCTTTTGTCTTCATAAACCTTGTACAAATTATCATATTCTACTGCAAAGGAATTTTCGAGATATACGTTAAACTTTACAGCCGTTCGTTGCTTGAGTACGACTGAATCAACCATTTTTTGTCACAAGTGACCTACATACTGACGTCATTTTCACATTGTGACGTCACAAACACGGAGCAAAACATTATTTGACATCTGCTATTTATAGAACATGTGTATGACTATATGTGTGCCAAATTTCATTCTGATCTGAATTGTGGTTTTTTTAATATAGAGATAGTTCTCGAACTTTTTGATCACCCCTCGTACATTATATACAATGTACAGTCAAACCTCATTATCTGGAACTCAATGGGACCGACAAAAAAACTTCGAGATATCCAAGGATTCGAGATATCCAGGGTAAAATACTTAAGAAATAAGGGGTTGGGACTTCAAAATCACTTTGACATATCCATGGTATTCGAACCGTGTTCGAGATACCGAAGTTTAACTGTATATTGATATGTAAGTGTATGATGATTATATGCATCGCCCAGACCACTCCACCAAAGCGGAAAAAATGCTATCATTCTGCATGCACTAACCTTCCCGACAACAAAACTTAAAAGATCAGAAAAGATCATTTCATCATATGGCTGAATTGCTCAGATGAGTTAGAGAAGTACCATTATGTTTCCTGGCATGTTCAATTGACTCCAGAGTTTGTGGCATAGTTCCGTCATCCGCCGCCACCACCAGAACTATGATGTCTGTTACTATGGCGCCCCTCTCACGCATGGCTGAGAATGCAGCGTGACCTGGGGTATCCAGGAATGTTATCTGATTTCCCGAGGGTGTCGTGACTGAAAGGCACAGAAATATTGTTTGAATGAATTATACCTAGTAAAATTCTCTCACAAAAGCTATGGAAGAGAAAATATTTGAGAATATTAATTTTTTAAAATGTAAATTGTATAGCCAACAACCCTCACCCTCCAAGGAAAAATTTCAATGGAAGGTGGTCTTTCAAAAAAGATGCAACTGCACTGTTACTTGAAACTGAAATCACTATCCCTTGAATAAAATTGCTAATTTGTAAGCATCTAAGAACATTATGTAGTGAATAAGTATTTTAATTTAGCTCAATGGTTTTGACCATGAGACCAAACATCATTAAAATACTTAAATTAAATTTGGTTGACACGTTGTTGGCTATAAGAACAGTGGGACAGTGAGACACCAGAGGCCTGTTCAACAGTGCGAACGTTCGCGAGCGCTCGCCAAAATTCCTTATCCCTTCAATAGAAATGTTCGCGAGCGCTCGCTCTGTTGAACAGGCTTCAGGATAGAAGAAGATGATGACATACCTACATGTATCAGTGTGTGCCCATTCATTCATGGTAAGAGGGAAAACCCCCCACATTTTTAAACACTCCAAAAAATGACAACCTGGTCAGACTTACCAGAAAAAGCTCCTATGTGTTGTGTTATTCCCCCGAATTCCTGAGACACCACATTAGATTTACGTAGTGTGTCCAGCAGTGTGGTTTTTCCATGGTCAATATGTCCCATTATGGTTATTACTGGTGGTCTGGAGACCAGAGTTTTGGGGTCAGGTGGGGCCCTGAAATGTAGACAGGTATATATATATCTCACATTTATCTCGATCACTTTATTTACTTGTTTGTACCACCATCAACAAATAAGTATATATACATGTACATGTAAATCCATAGTTCAGAAAAGTCAGTTCTAACATGCTTTTTCTTTCAATTTCCCAAATTCTGAAGTTTAGGTTCCTTATATTAATAACTCTCTTTTTGTGAAGTAATTGTTTGCCTTTTATAGTGACAAATTGCATTTCTCACTTTCTGCCTGGATCCAACACACACTCATAAAACATATTCTAGTTTTGCAGAAATTAACACCAAAAATTTTCAACAGATTGTCTTGTTAAAATCTGAAGTTTGAGAAATTTTAACCCTGTACTCAGCAGAAAAACATAAAGGCATGTGAATCTACACAGTTCAAAGCCTTAAACATAGCTCTGAAAAAGGAGCATACATGTACAAGAATGTGTCAACTATTGACAATTGCTATGACCTTGAACTCAATGGGCAACATACTCACTGTGTCAGACAAATATTCAGCACTCTCATAAATATGGAATACAAGAAGTTTATTAAACTCTTTACATGAAGCTCAAGTTAACCCTAAAAGACACACAAAGGATAAGGGAACCAAAGTGATTCCCATTAATCCGTCCATTGTAGACAGGAAGATAAATAAATAATCTATTTGTGTACACACTGTCGTGGAATATCCTGCTGTAAGACCTGTTTTGCCATATCCCTGCCTGTCATTATGGGATTCCCTCTAAAAGTCCGACAGATGTCCGATAACAGGTCAAGGTCATTAATTTCTGAATAACAGAAAATGTCATTTTCTTTATTAATTAATTACCAAAGTACACGCAGCTCATTTTTTTGGTATGAATTTCTCTGCAAGAAATTCATAATCAAGTCAGTATAAGCATTAAGTTTTTCCCATGAAACTTTTTTAAAACTAATAAGACAATTATTCATACTTAGAAATTCTGAAAAATAGAAACGGAAACTTAATAGTTACATGTACGCAAGAACATGCATATTTCATTTTTTTTATATATATATAAATTTTCATGAATCTGAGAGATACTTTTACATTTCATAGAAGTACATTGTTTAAACTCATGGAATATTAAATCTACAGAAATAAAGGCAATTAAACAAATAATTATTTGTACCTGTGTTCTCATCTTCTATGCTTTCATATTCTGGGGATTTCAATATGACCTCTAATATTTTGTCTGAAAAAAACACATTACAAATGTTAAACAAGAAAAATTTTTTTTTACTCTCATTATCCTATTGCTTATACAAAGAAATGAACAATACATATTACAATTTTTAATAAACCCTACATTATCATGACAACTTTTATACCATACATTACATTTGTCTGCTAGTACTCATAATAAACAAAATGCCATACTTTGAAATCTAAACTGAGCTAATATTACACATGTAGATAACTGAAATTTGTGTTTAACATATTACAGTAAAACACGCTTATAACGAAGTGCCAGGGACAGACAATTTTGCTTTGTTATAACAGTAATTCATTACATCTGTTAAGTGTTCAATATACAGTGTATTTTAAAGTCAATAGGAATGAAAATCACTTCGCTATATAAGCATAAATTCATTATAAGGGTGTTTGCTATAAGCATGTTTTACTGTAATTATAATTATTGATGGAGACTTCTGCAGTTGCAGCTATAATCATCATTTGAAATAAAGTTATGCATTTTAATCTTTGTAAACTTGCATTTCAAACTTATTCTTTGAAACATTGTTTTCCATATATATTTTCTACATATAAAAAAAATCGACTACACATTCTATTACAACCCCCCAACCCCCTAGGGGCAGCTTGATTTTCAGATGAACATAAATAACAAGAATACCTAAGTCAATGTTCATATTTCTGGAAAGCTCGACAAGGGTCATTCCCTTAAAAACTTTGACATTCATTTGTTCCACTGATTTTGGCTTGTGGGGAATTTTGTTCTACAAAAGAAAATATAAAAACAAACATGCAAATTAATCAGTTACAAAATATATAGTTTCATCTCCAGTATTCTTTATTTGACCATTCCTGAATGTTGCTGCTGGATCTTATATAACCCAGAAACATCTGAATTTAGAAGAGGCCAAAGGCCACAACACTCACCTGAGTCATTATTCTCTTCCTGACCAAATCAAAAAACGTACAATTGTATCCTATTGAAATTGGACAAAAACTGTACAACATAACGTACAAGTAGCGTTTTGAATGAAATTCAGAGAAAATTTTATTTTCATTAACTTGTGCAACACTTTTCATGGAAATCAAAACCCACTTTACATGTATAGCACTTCCATGTACGCAGTTTTATTGAAATCAGACCAAAGTGTAGGAGAAGGTGTTTTGAAAGAATCTAAATAAAAAAAAAATTCAAATATAGCAATCATGAAAACATTTTTCATCCAAATCAAAAACTGACACAGAATTTTTATCTTGGTGTGTAAGTTTAGTCTACTTGATTTCTAAGTTCATTTGAAATAAAAAAAAATGTGAGAGAAGTAGAATTTTTAAAAATTTGTTTAAAGACAAATGGTCAAAAGGACAGCTAGAGATGGGCAAACAGCTTACTGACCCCTAAATACCCTTGTATACATGCAAGTACATGTGGTCTTTGACCAATACAGTTTAACAAGAGGCCCATGATCCACAATGTTTCCCTGTGTACCTTGGCCCTGCTGACTGTTCTTCAAAATAAAACTTTTTAAAAATTTTACCTTTACTTTCAAATTTGCATGTCATTGACAAATTTTGATCTCATTCCGAGGACACATCCTAGTGCATGTCAAGTCATGACTTAACCAAATTTAAATCCACACTACATGGGAATTCTTATCAATATGGATAATATGACCTAGCTTTTTATGGATGAGATTTTCTAAAGATTGTTCTATAAACATGTTTTATGTAAAATCTTATTCCCAATTTTTTTTCCAACCCTTATACCAGGGTCTATAACATTTGAAGAGGAAAAACATGAATCCACATAACTTGGATTTTTGTGCATATAAAAATGAATTAGTATAGCCCTTCTACTCTTCAATGAGTCACCCACGTGGCACAGTGATTAGAGCGTCTGCTTTAGAGTTGCGGTGTAAAGGAGTTGATCCTTATGTCACAGGTTCTAATCCCACTGCGGGATGTGGAGACTGGTCCTTCAGATGAGACTGTATAAACCGAGGTCCCGTGTTGCAGTAGAAGCTGGCACGAAAAAAATCCCTCACTGCTCAATGGCCCTGAGTGCCGAGTATACATGTATAGATCTAAATTTGCAGCCCTCCACCGGCAAGTGGTGGAATCTTGATATGAGTGAAAAAATTCTTGAGAGGGATGTTAAACAACAAAAAACAAAACACTCTTCAATGAAAAAAAAATATTTTTTTAACTTCCAATATATCTGATGTATAACTTTGAATCTGCATGTAGTTAAGACCTATCCTAGCCCCTGGAGCATTAATTGGTTTGAACAAATTAATATGAACCTGACAACATTGTTTTATTATTTGTATAAATTCATATGGGTAATTGTGGCCCTGATTTCGGGAATAAGAATTTAAAAACAGTTGAACCTCAATATCTCGAACACCGATATCTCGAATACCATGGATATGTCGAAGATCTTTAGACAGGCAGATGAAGAGGGAATTTAGAGTCTCTTCCAGTCTCATCATTGAGGACTAAAACTTTGCATCCCATTCATCCAAGGATGATTTGAGACATGTTCGGTTGAAATTGTTCCTATGGTTCTGGAGATAAAAACTAAGTCAAAGTGAAAATGAAAAGTTATCAGACTACAGATGCCAGATAATGCATAGACAACTGACAAATGTTGATCGGAAGAGCTCACATGAGTCTTGGGCTCAGGTGAACTAAAAAGAAAATAAGTCTCAATATGAAATAATTAACATTCCAATCACACTGACACTTTCAAAAGTTTTCCTTCGCTTTTGGTTTAAAACTTCACTTGGTTCTTCTATATCCCTCAATAGGTCATCCAAACCTGCTGCTATACTGCTGGTGTGGAAAGCCTGCCTAGGGCCTGTGTATGGATGCCTTGTACATGTTCTTTCTCTTGCACACAAGTTCCATAACCCTGTGAGTTTTTTTGTGTTGGAAGCATTCTGCAAATGGCTTGTAAGTCGTTGCTGTGTAAGAAGTCTTCGAAAGCAGATCTCACACACCCTAGACATGACTATGAAACCTAAAATGTAAATAGCTTGAGATAGTATAAAACAGATTGAAGTACAATAAGCATAGATTTAAATATCCATATACAACAGTAACAATAGGACTAAAGATTATTATACTCTAAGACTTGTAGAAGAGTCAACTGTAGCTCTCAGACTTTACAAACACTGAGTAAAACCTGAAAACATCAATGATCATGATTTGTTTCACAGGAGTCGGTAGTTTTATCCATAAAGCAACATAAACAACAACCAGTGAGCTTAGAGAGCGTCACTTCAATCGCTACACTAACGAAGCTCACTGGTTGTTGTTTATTAGCTTTTCCTCAAATATGTCAAAAATACGTAAAATATCGGCTTGCTACTGCCTGCCCAATGTACCAACTGGGAAACCAACAATTGCCAAGAAAATCTAAATATCGAGTATTTCAGGGGAATTTTTACAGCAAATACACTCTACAAAGAAAACCTATAACAAACATAATCTGAAAATTTTCAGCTCAAGTGATAAAGAATTAAGACAGAACATTGAAAAATCCCGAATAGTCCGGTTTTCAATTTGCCCCGGCCCGGGTTTGCCTACTCATTTTACCAACACTCTTATTTACGTTGTTTTATGGATATAATAATAACTGCCGACTCCTAGTGTTTGTTTAAAATATTAATCGTTAATCTTTCAAAAAAGAGCGACATTTTATAATTTACAGTCAATAACATCTTTACATATGCTCGTGTCTATGCTTTATGCGGGACTGAGAATTATCGACTTTTAAAGATAATTCGGCGCCATCAGATGTTTCTTCTCTAGTATCTTTCGAATTTTCTCTGTTCTCCAATGGCATCGTAACAGTTTATATTACTATTCATTAATTTATAACCTCTTCTTAAGTTACTGGTCATTAAATAAATTACATGGTAACTTATCATAATAACAATTCACTTAAAAACACGCAAAACTCACATACCAAGCGTGATCACTGATGATTTCTTAGTCAATGACAGTCCCGAAAATGATTACGCAAGGCATAAAATGTCGATCCCGATCAAAATTCCAATTTTATATGTAGTAGGGTCGGAAAAATGAAAACATAACATAAACACATGCATATTGATATACGTCTACTCTATCCCTACAAATTCAAATAAGTATTTTATTGTAAGAAAATTCGCCCCTAAGTTATATTCCGAAGTAAAACTGAAAAGTAAATGAAGTAAAATTAATTTTTTTGTTTATTTGTTATAAAAAGAAAAAACCCAGTATGTATATATTTTCTGCTCGTGCAGTGAACCCAGAGGAGAGTTATAAATTGAACCTTGTTTTAAGCCCCGTTGTTCAGTTGATATTATATTAATTCTATAGCTTTTGAAAACAAATTAAATGAAGTAAAACTAAAAATATCTTGAATATCTTGTCCAGAAAACCAAAATCAAACCACAAAGAAAAAAATTCTAAAATAAAATAGAGAAAAATTTTACATTTGTTGCAATAGTGCATTTGATGACTGTTGATCTGTCGCGATCCTAAAGTCAGACTTATTAACACCGATACGTACAATGTGAACACTGCGTAAAAAGAAACTTAATTTAGTGTTGTCTCTGTACATATCGACAGCAGCTAGATAGTTAAACCCTTGTTTGAAAAATTTCTGAGATGTTCAATTTTTATTTTTACTTTACGTATTTTTATTCCAAAAAGACTTGATCGGTTTTCATAAAATAAGTACTACAGTGTAGTCTCCTGTAAATTTTGGCAGGTGTGCAACATTGTCCTGAACAAGTAGGGTACATGTATAAGACCGAAGAACATTAACTGACAATATTGGAAATATGCAGATTACGTCGTTTTCATCCGTTTTCTAGGGTCAAAATATTTGATGATAGACAATGAATTCGGCGCGGACGTATGAGAAAACATAGGATTGAAACTATAGTTTGAAATTCACTTTCAATCCACCTCGGCTACGCTCGTATGCACAGTGTTACTGATTGATCCAGAAGACAATTGAATTCGATTTCAGAAAAGTTTGAAATTTATATACACGTAATTAAAACCAGATCTTATTTTCTATCCATTGCTTTTAATGAAATAAAAAGGAACAAACATTTGATTCCTGATTGGTGTGTGTTGTGTGTGGGTGGAGGGGTGGGGGGGGGGGGGGGAGATCTTGAAAATAAATAAGAATGTTTTTTTGTCTCGGCACCTCTCCCAGCTTTTGCGTGTCAAGCATTTGATCAGGGAAGGAAATATGAATGAAATTTAATAATATCAATCTCTTGTATAAAATGTAAAAGGTAAAACAACCAATTTTTCATAGTCTTATAATTTTCAAGCATTTCATTAATCTGTATGCATGTTCACGAAGCTATCTTAGGACTACGATGTTTTTTCCTAACTTAATGACAACATAAATCCTATAATATAGGCTATATACTAAGATCATCCCAAGTCTTTTGTGATGTTTATTTTTCTGAGTATTGCAAGCATAAGGGACAATTTTTATACTCATTACCTAAGCACAGTAAGCAGTTCGTGTATCAGCTGACAACTTACACAAATCATTTTTTTTTCTCACAAATGTTATCCCATCCTCACAACGTCAGTGGTACTGAGTCAATGACTACAACGTGTTGACTTACATGTACGATCCCTGACGTTGTGAGAATAATGTTACCCAAAGGTCTTTCCTTTGTAACATCAGTTACAATGTTCGACGATTTGCAGAAGATGATACATATACTGTATATTTTTTTCACCTCATCGAGAAGAAGCATGTTAATCCAATTTATAGCGGAAAGTTACACCGTACCGATGAATAGAGCCTGATTTCATCGAAGGAGACTGTGTAATCGTCGACAATGCCCCCATACATCAATATGGCTTAAAGGAAACTCAGAATTCATTTATCGACAGTTGGCGTTGAGTACAATTTTTATCTACATGTACATACACCCCAGATCTACATGTAAGCCTATCGAGCTTGTGTTCCGCAAAGTCAACTCACTTCTAAAGAATGACCGTTATGCACATCTACTAATTTGAAAGCTAATTTGAAAGTTAAATACTGTATACGAAGCATTTCAAGAAATCTCAACAGCAGACAGGGTGCCTTTTTTTTAAAGCCACAGAATATGATCGTATAAGACTTAAAGATAGAAAGGAACTCAAACGAAATTCAAACGGATTGAACGAAATTTATATAATTTAAAGAGATTTTTTTTTTTTTGCATTAAAAAGACATGATAATGGTTTTAGTTAGTTTTTTTTTATTAGGCCCTAATTTATTTTTTAACTTATAAATACGCTATGCGAGATGTTTTAATTTCAATAGTTATTGTTAAAGAACTCGAGTCAATCATGGTTATATTTTATTTTTCGGTAGATACATTTTCAGTGTAAAAAAAAAAATTAGTGTGCATACGCTACATAAATTTTCAAATAAAAATAGAAAATGAATTGAGATTTTCGTATTTGTTTACACTATGATTTTGTATACAAAATATTAAAAATCAAAATATTATTTCCTTCTCACTCTCAAAAAGCAAACAAACAAACGGGCAAACAAACAAAAATGCAACATAAAATGCTAAACCGAATCCAATATATTGGCTCCGCCTACTTCGATTTAATTGGAAGGCGATTTGTTAAATCCCTTGCGTAATACTTAGTAACCCTTTGTCATGTATGTGTTATTTGTTTTCAACTAATCAGCAGTCTACAGGAAGACAGCCAATGAACAAAAGTGTTAGAATAAAGCAAGGACGGCTCAGGATCTTACGTAATGCGAAAAGAAACACCTTTAACAAATACCAATTCCTGCAATATGATTGGTTGGTGACTTCTCTAACACTAGAGAGTTCTATGAAGCTCTACCCCAGGTATAAAATGTGTTATCTATAACCCAAAATGATATTTATCATTTTAATAATGAAACACTGTTAAATAGGGAGAGGCAGAGGAAAAAACATTGTACATTTTCATTTGCCGAATGAATGAAAGACGCTCATAATTCCTTTTTTTTTTTTTTTTTTTTTTTTGGTTTTTTTTTTTTTTTTTTTTTTTTGGTTTTTTTTTTTTTTTTGGTTTTTTTTTTTGTTTTTTAAATCTACCTTATTGCCAAAGGATGTGTTTATGTTTGCGGGTGAGCTATACACATTATATATATTGTAGGACTAATTTTAAAATTATTAATTTGAGGGTAAAAATCTTTATTTCTATAAATACGCTTAAATATTACATTTCAAATCGTCTTGTATAATATCGTCTATAAAATCATTTTCGACAATGTTCGTCGGTCCTTTTGTACTTCTGACAATCCAAAACAGGCACAGGAGCTTAAAATGACAATTTGTTTTTAAAAAAAATGTTACCAGGACAATGTGAAGAAATACATGTATGTTTATTAAATTTTGAGGCAGATTAACGTTATCTATTTTCTTTTGTTTGGCTTCAAAATATATTTGCTGTTTTTTTTTCTCAGAAACTTCAGTGATTCCCAGTCATGTTTCGAGTTGAAATATTTTGCATCTTTGAACATGATTTTTATTTTCCTTTGTTCCTTCTTCTTCTCTAATAAAAAGGATATTGAATGGGATTGTAGAGAAATTACTAAACACCTTATACGCGTTTAATATATATCCATATATTTTTGCAATTTAACTCTCTTCAAATTTTCACAATGAAATCTTAGAAGCCACTTGCAAATTTTAATTCGAACTTTGAATTCATACTTCCTGAGTTTTAGTAACCAATCCGGTATGAAGATTGATGGCTTGAATATTTGAAATAATTTTTTTTTTTTTTAGAAAATGAAAAAGAGAAACGTGATTCTTTTTTTATATGAGTGTTTGAGTCAAAACAATAAGCTAAAAAAAAAATCTAAAGCCTTTTGCAAGTTGCATTAATGAACTCTAAGTATGAAGTAAATTTTAAAATAATATCAGATAAAAAATAGGTACAGAATTTAATTTTATTAACAATAAATATTCAATATCAAAAATTAAAATTACAAAGT